GCTTAGCTGTCAGTCCTTGTATGTTCTAACCCTTTCATCATGGGCTGCAGCCGTCACCTCTGGGGTAGTCTGCCCTCCTCTGCACTCTTCTCTCAGCAGAGTCTTTTATTGTTGTGGAAATTTTCCAAGGAGATTACAACTTCTTCTTGAGTAGGTAGCAAAAGTCCAAAAAACTTCCCAGGAGGTATAGTCAGAGACATGAACCTTTATTCAAAAGAGAAACAAAAGAATAGGGAGAGAGGATTAAAAAGATAAAGCAAGCAGGTTTACAAACGTTGCTAGCAATTCAGGCGTCCAGCGGCGGCGGCCAGAATAGATCCAAGATGGCTGCTAACCCCCTCCCACTTTGCAGGGAGAAGTATACCTGAGTTTGAGGAATTGGGGGTGGGGCCCTGGGCAGTGCCCTATGTCTACCACCTGTGTGTGCTCTGATAAGACACTGCCATTAGCAAGTTTTGTGGCTTGAAACTATTCTAAGGATGGGTTAATATGTTACAGAATACACTGCTGTGGATCCGACTCGGATCCGACTCATAGCGACCCCTCCTTGGGTTTCCGAGGAGGTATCACTATGGAAGTAGATTGCCCAAACTTCCTCCTGAGGAGTGGCTGGTGGGTTTGAACTGCCAGCCTTCTGGTTAGCAGTCAAATGCCCTAGGCAATATGCCACCAGTATGCAGGGGAATATGTGACAAGGGGAGATAGGGGAAATGGCTTGTGGTTCTTACAGGCTTGGCTAAACAAGATGGAGTCTGGGAGCCATTTTGGGGGGTTGCAGTTACTGACCATACACGGGTTGTGGGGGAGTTTGGAACATCTGCTACTTTTCAGAGCCTGTCTTTTCCTTTAGAATGTCATAGCCCTTTAAGCCTGAAAAATGTAGAAAGCTTAAGTTGTAATCAAAATAAAAGTAGTGAGATGAAGTGATATTTTTGAACATTCACTATAGCCATAAGTGGAAGGGTGTCTTAGTTAGGAATGTTTTTGGCTGCAAGTAAGAGAAAATCTGACTCACATTCTCTTAACAGCACAGATATTTGATTACCTCATAAAACAAGAAGTTTAGAGATAGGCGGTGGCAGGGGTGGCTAATTCTGGTGACTCTTTTTTGGGCTCTGCAATTCTCCTGGCCTTCTGCTCATCATAGTTCCCATCATCACACCCTCACACAATGGCCCCCAACCCAGAAAAGGAGGCAAAGAAGGAGGAAAAAAATTGCCCAGAAGCCCCCAGCAGACTCCAGGAGGCAGTCACATGACCATCCTTGGACAAGTCACTAGCAAAGAGGGATTTCCCTGAGTGGCTCAGACCAATGGTGGTTCATTTTCTAGGAGGAGGATGAGGCCACCTTGCCCAAACACCAGCCCCGTTCCTGAACAAAATTGGGTTCTGTTAGCAAGGGAGAAGCTGGGGCCCCAACACATTCTTCTCTCCTTGGTGCATGAGCACCGGGGTTGAGGTGGGGAGAGGGACAACTACTTGGAAGGGATTCAGACTGGCGTGACACTGATCACCGAAGCTGGGGATAAGGAGTAGAAGGAACATTTATTGAGTCCCTCCTATCTGCCAGGTGGGAGCTCTGGTGGCATAGTGCCTAAGGCATTTGACTGCTAATCAGACGGCTGGTGGTTCAAACTTTCCTCAGAAGGAAAGTTGGGCAATCTACTTCCACAGAGATACTGTCTCAGAAACCCAAGGAGGGGTCGCTATGAGTCAGGTCCAACTCGAATGAATGGCAGTGAGGTTTGGTTTTTTTTTTTTTTTTTTTGGTGTGCCAGGTCCCCTCATCATATGTAATTCAGATCTTACGACGGCTCTGTGAGGAAGGGCTCCTTCTCAGATGAGAAAATTGAGACCAAGCTCTGATCATACAGTGTGAGGCTGAACTGGAATCAGAACAAAGAGGAGTTGATCTCAGCATGCTCCCTGTGTGTTAGACACTGGGACAAGTGTGTCACCTGGCCATGGCTCAGAGAGGCAAAGCAGACTGCCCCAAGTCACACAGCCAAACTGAAGTGGGAACCCCACTGTCAGAAGACCATACCACAGAGCTCCCTAAATTTGGAAAAAAAAACAACCCTCCAGGTTCCTTCACAGCCTTTTTGGGGCTGTTGGCTCTGTGGGCAGAGAAGCTGGATAAACAAGCAAAGGGTTCAGGAAATTCTTTTGCCTCTGGCTGTTCTGAATCTAAGGAGCTGTGGTGGCGTGGTACCTAAGGCATTGGACTGCTAACCAGAAGGCTGGCAATTCAAACCCACCAGCCACTCTGCGACATGGGGCAATCTACTTCCTTAAAGATTCACTGCCTCAGAAACCCAGTGGGGGTCACTATGAGTCAGAATCAACTCGATGGCAGTGAGTTTGGTTTGGTTCTGAATCTGCCAAGGCCACACAAGGGTTATCTGGCTGCCTTGATAGCCCACATTAAACAAAAGAAGTGAATCTCTAACATGATAGCAGGGAATGTTAAATACCATCAAGAAAAAAATAATAAAACAGTGTAAGACACTGGAGAGTGGTGGGATGACCACTATAGACAAGGTGGTCAGGGAGGGCTTCACTGAGGAGGTGGCACTTGAGCAGAGACAGAGGGGCAGGGGATGTGAAGGAAGGAGTGAGTGAGTTGTGCAAGCCTTTGAAGGAAGGGTGTTCCAGGCAGAGGGAACAGCAAGTGCAAAGGCTCTGAGGTGGGACTGAGGTTGCTATGTTTGGAGAACCATGGGGAGGTGTGGTCAGAGCAGATGGGTGATGGAGAAAGTGGGGGGAGATGAGGGCAGCGATAAAGGGGGGTGGTGGATCAGGCTGGCCCTTGTAGGACCACGTGGTGACTTGCCCTTGCTTTGAGAGAGCTGGAAAGCATGGAAGGTTTGAGCAGGATTCAGGGACAGGATCTGACCTAGGTTCTAGCAGGATCTTTCCACCTACTGGGGAGAGGAGTAACAGCTATTCATGAACGCTATTGGGGAAACCTGCCTGAGCTCACCTAGAAGTGAGTATACACTCAACACTAGAACCTGACCTCCTGGGTCCCAGCTCCATGCTCCACCCACTGTTTCTTCAGCTTGTCTGGCCAAGCACTCAACAGTTTGCGATTCCCTTTCACAGGTAGGTTCTCACCAACGCCTCACCATGGCCATATGAACTAAGTGCAACCCTGACCTGCCTGTTTCCAGGTAAGGAACGGGACTCAATGAGGTTAACTAACCTGCTGTTCTAGAAGAGAGTGCATGGGGATGGGATGGGGACAGGGAGCAAACCTGGATGAGGTCCACACCTCCCGCTGTGAGTCTGGGTTCTTACCTGCACCCAGGGGTGTTCCCTTGCAGAACCACCAGCATAGGGGGCTAGCACCCAAGCACCATTGTGACAATGTCCACCACACCCTGAGTCGCTACTGTGTACCAGGTTCAGGGCTGGGTGCTTTTCATTCTCTCATTTCTTCTGCCCCTTACAGCCTTGAGGATGGGGGGGGGGGCAGAGGGGAGCTCAGAGAGGAGATGAGGCCCAGCCAGTGAGAGAGGTTAGGTCAGACTGACACCCAGATCCTGGCTCTTCCCATGTGACCATGCTGTGCACTGAGTCTGCAAACTGTAGGTGAGCTGTGTGACCTTGGGCAAGTCACCCCGCCTCTCTCTGGGCCTCAGTCCCTCCCCACCCCCATGTGTACAATGAGGGGCTTAGGACCCTCCATCTGTGGTGTTTCAGAACTATGATGTCAATAAAGCCACTGTCCTCAAAGAGCTCATTCCATGCTCCTAGGAATTCTGAAGATCCACTGTGGCCTTGAGCCACACTCCGGGTGACTGCAAGACACCCAGGGCTGTCGCTTAACAGCAGGGCCTGCTCACTGATACACTTCCGGCCACGGTAGAATGTCGAAATACATACAACAGTCAGGATTTCTTGAGCCCCTGTTCTCTGCAGATATAACCTCATTGATTCCTTATAAGAGCCCCTGTGAGGAAGGGGCTGTTATTATCCCCTTTTACAGATAGGGAAACTGAGGCACAGAGAGGTAAAGTAAGCACCCAAGTTTACACAGCCAGTAAGTGGCAGAGCTGGGATGTGAACCCAGGTGGTCCCAACCCTGAGCTTGTACCCCTGCACTGTAGTTATTGAAGATACCGTTTTGTACTATATAAACAGCCCAAGGCCGAGCAGCAGAACAGAAAACTCCAGCGTCTCCAAGGCAGCTGGCAGAGGAGGGATGGGATGCGGAGGGAGGCTGGGATGGTGAAGTCTGTGTAGGTGGGACGGCCTGGAAAGGTCTCCGGGTCCCCCTAACATCCTCCTCCCTCACGCCCCCCACATTCCCTCCTCTCCCACTACGTCATATTCCCACCCCATACAACCCCCTTCTTGGAGTCTCCCCTTTCCCCACTTCACCCCTCCCTTCTGTATACTCCGCTCCTGTACCCCTGTTTACTCCCTTCCTCCCCCCACATCCCCTCTGTCCCCCCACATCTTCCTTTCCCACAAACCTGCATTTTCCATCCCCCCTCCCTTTCCGGGCCCAGGAGGTGGGGGCCTGTGGCCAGCACTGCGGGAGTAGGGTCAGAGCGCCCCAGTGATCCCTGTTAACTGTCCCCTAACTCGCAGCTGTGGGGGGCGA